CTCTCCTAAAAATATTTCCCAAACTCTTGATAACCGGATCAATCGACCTTTATCCGTGAGCATGCAGGTAGCTCGACAGAAAGAGTTAAAGAGAGTAGGGAGTGCGTAAAATATTGGTTTTCGAAGCCATTGAAGAATCGAGGGGAAGATTTGGTAAAGTGGTACATAATCCCAGGGGTGTCGAACGGCTGTAACACAGCAAGCCGCGATAATTAGTCGGGATATTCAGCGTGCAGTTTTGGAATATCCGACGATCGAATGGTGGGCAAACGGGTATACACACCGGCCAGGCCAGAGATTACCGAGGCATGGAATATATACATAGTATGTATATCGGGTAAACGGTGGTTCATTAGAGAAAATAGTTTTGGCGCGGCTGCATTCAAAAGGGGCAGGGAGCGTGCACCGCACGAGACGTTGCTAATTCAAAGGCACGAGCGTGGAATAGTTGCAGAGCCGCCCATCGCGTTCCTTCGTGACAATAATCGCGGATTGACTGACTGACGAACGCGTTGGTGAACGACAAAAACTGACAGTCGGAGAGATTACCCGCGTGTATACGGATTAACGTTGCCTTTATGTCCCACAGAGGTATAAGTCTTTGCCTTCCATTGGCCAAACGATCATTTTTCGAAAAGCTTGTTGCGATACCAGGGGATGTTGGAGAAAAGGGTCACGTGAAACTGTGAGGTTTTGCAGGGCGTGGTGCTCTTTCAACCGAACACTTGATGAGCTTTTTCATAGTTCGCGAACGTTAACAGGGAAATCATTTGGTTCCCAATTAGTTGCTAACAGGGTTTTACCTATTCTTGTGGCAACTGTGAGAAATGCACGAGGTTCGTTGTTTAGCGTGCCTACAGTTGGGCTTTTCATTTCTCTGGAACAGTTTTATATTCGTTATTTTCAATCCTGCACGAATTAGGTACACTTTGCGATAAATCCTTTGACTGTTCGTAGAAATGGGGAACAAAAGTGTCATGAAGTGAAGAATAAAGAATTTTTCAGTTTAGATCTGTTCGATATTTTTCTTTCACTTCAATTAGTATTATGTTCTACAACCAGTACTATTTCATACAAACTGTTCGCACACCCTGAAGAATTATAGTTTGAAAATGTTTACTTGGGGAATTTAAAGGTCTTCTCGAGATTTGCTTGATGTCAATTGTCAAACGCTCGAACAAAGAAATAAGGCAACAGCTGTTTTACGTAAAATTAATAACAACGTATACCTGTATAATAGCTAGCCTAAGTCAGTGCTGTCTAGGCGAAGCTTCCTCCGCTTTCTCTACTCTGAACTTCACCTAACACCACGTTATTTCTAAGCAACACGCACTAATAAGCACAACAGATTCCCTTGAAAATGCGTTGATCTGTCTGCTTCTAGTGGCGGCTCGTAGGAGAGGACAAAACCGCGTAAGGAGCTCTGCCCGTGAACAGTACTGGCGTAAGTGACACACCACCAGCCTTCCTCTCTCGATTCTCTCAAAAGTCAAACTAAATTTTTCCCTGAAAAATTACTCTTCAAACCAGAACTTCGATGTCAAATCTTACTCACTTTTCCCACCCTCTAACCGAAACCACGTGCGAGCAGCGACGCTCTGTTTGAAAAGCGAAAATACACCGCGCTTCTAGCCGCGAGTGTATTGTCACAACAAGGTGGCTCTCGTAATTACAAGCGTCTTTTTTGCCAACGAACGTCGCGCGAGAACAGGGGGCGGAGGACGATGATGCGCCCTGGCGCACGGATGGAGCGTTTAACGACTGGCAATCAGGATCCAGGAAACGGAGCTGCTTTTATCCCGCTCGCGTACACCGGCCTGACGACCATTCTTTCTCCCTCGGTTCGCTCTGGCCCCAGCAGCTTTTTATAATTCCCGGCAAAGCATTTTTTTCTCCCCTGGTCGCCGTTTCCGTTTCGAGAAGCAGTCCAGACCTTTCCTGCTCGTCCCTCTCGCTGTTCCAACCTTCCCCCTCCTCTCACCCCTGGTTCCCTTATTCCACGGGACCGGATACCTTTTACCACGCCCATCCTGTCGTCGTTTGCATAAAGTGAGCTATCTGCGCTTTTAATATAGGCAAATGAAGTTACGCTCCGGAACTAATCATATTTGCATGCGGAATGGCGATTCTCCTTTGAGCCCCCGTCGGACTTATTACTTACAATTTAGTCGACGTGGAACGTTCTACGACGGAAAACCGACCGGCATGATAATGCGGATCGATCAGCGATCCGTCTTGTTTCGATACACCGAGTATGTAACGTTTGGACGCGCGCGTTCCCCCGTGGTCTGACTATGTGTGCGCCTATACTACTTGCGGAGCTGTCTTTATTTTACCGCGTACTACTTACAGCGCGGATCAAATGTATCGGTTATTATCTGCGATCTCTAACATGTCGGCTTCTAATGGCTATGTTTAAGAGGATAATTTTCCTTCTTTTTGCTCTTCTCCTTCTTTTTTCGTACTACTCGTTCGTTCGATACAGCTGCCGGTTATGATCACAGGTTGCGTAATTAACTACCAGGATCTGATGTATTATTACGTTTAATTTATCCGCGTTCAAGAGGTGAATACGCCTTTTCTCTGTACCGAACGATAGACGCGGTTGTTATTACCGTATGAATACGTAAATGTTGGAATAAACGATTGCGCTTTCGAAGTAGTCATGTGTCGCGTTAATCAGACGGGACATTCTTTCGCGGTAGAGAACGTCTAATGAATCGAATTTTCGATAAGCACTCGATGATGACCTCTACGTAATCGAACGACTGTTTAAAAATGTAATTAAAACGTGGAGCAAAATAAGTTTTGCTATCCGGGGGAAAAAAATGTCCGTTGAAACGTGGGAACGATAATTTGGAAAGTTTTCGCGAGGAGTTTGCTTTATATTCGTCACGTTTCCTCGCGAGGTGATCAAATATTTCAAATTGAAATACCCGGTCGGTCCGCGAATCGCGTCCCGATCAAAGATTTTCAATTACGTCAAGGAACAAAGTTTCGTTTTATCGGCGGTCGACGAGCCGCGCGCGGCTCCGCACGACGGGGGATTACGCTATTATACATTAATGAAAGCGCGGCTTTCACGTAAGATACGTACGAATGAAAGATAAACGCCATCCTCACGGGACACTGTTTGCGGAGCACTCATTGTACACTACTTGAGAAGTTCCGCAACTACGCCGAAACGATATTCTTGCCGGGACTGCCGCGGAAACTTCCGATGAAACGTGACACTTTGTCGTTTCCCCGCAATCATGCTTAATTAATTATCGATCGACCTTTGCCCGGCGCTCGTTTCCACCCGCGAGCTGGTAACTGCTTCTTCTCCCACGATTTCAATTAGCAAACGGCGTGTGTATATATAGTTTAGAGTGTATTTATTATTTTGCAAAATTGAAACACCTGAAATGTATTTGCTGCTGATCTGGTTATCTTTCTTACTTTAATTATTCCCCTCTTACGATTTTTTTAATTAAGTACGGTGACGTTGAATTAATTAGAATCGACATTATCTTCGAGATATGCGAAATACGTATGTTAAATGGAGGGAAAATAAGTTACAGTTTTACACGGGGAATCATATTCCCCAGTTGCGAGGTATAATTACTTTCAGTTGGTAACACGTTGCTATTTCCTGATTAAAAACATTTTCATCAATGGTAACCTTTTTCTCTGTTGAAGTTCTACTTCGTCCATTTTTTGTTTTAGGTAGGTTCCATTAATTTTTCGGAAAAATTTTACAGAATATTCCGTGAATGTAATTACTCGTTTGGTACGAAATGTTTTAGTCGAAAATGAAGTTTCCATTTGCTGCTCCAAACTTGAATTTACGTTAGCGATATACAGGGTGTTCGGTATCTGCTGGGAGAGCTCAAGAATTAAAAAGTAGCGTTTAAGGCTTCGTTTTTTAGTTATTAACAATTAAAATATTCGCTTGAAACAGGCTATTTTGGTGACAGCCACAGGACGGGTATTTCACTGCCGTTTCCAGCGAGGAAAGACATGCTTATCTGTTACAAGAAACTGTTGCAAGGACTGACACAATTTTGCCAAGATTTTACAATGATACTCCAACGTGAATCGTAGAAAAACGTTAATCCTGGCCGTAAACCCTCGCCAATCGGCCCTAAAGTAACTAAATTAAACCTAAAAATTAAACTTGCGTAAATTACGTCGACCGCTGGGGCAGTTTCTGTTACCAACTAATTGTAAGCGAAGCTTTCGCCGCTTGGTAGGACACTAACCTAACCGTCTCGCGGTTGCTACGAAAATTGCCCGTTTCAGGCGAAGATTTCAATTGTTAATAACTAAAGAACGAAGCCTCGAACGCGAATTTTTCATTCTTCGTTTTCGTCTTATTCCGGCTTCCAGAATCACTCCTTAAATTTTCTCCGAGCAGTTTACCGAACACCCCGTGTAATACGATAATTTAGCGAATATACGATCGCAATAATTAACGTGCGTGCTTGCCGGGGATAAACAGCTGCACCAGACGAAACCTTAATTCGATTTGACACACAGAGCCTGAATTTCCTTGAAATTTAGCCGGTGCACGTGAATACCAGTCTGGTATTATCGTCTGCGGCAACGAGCGCTGCATTTCGGTCACGCACGATCGAGTATTATCGTCGTCATTGTTATATCGACCACTCGTGAGGTAGCGAGCATACGGCTGTAATCGTAGTCTGGAGGAGCGCTTACAGAATATTGCGGCCCTGAACACACTGTATTGAGATACACATATCGATAACGGACTACGGATAAGCACGCTCTAAGAGCTCGGTGAACCGCTGAACCACTTTGCCCCCGTATTACGAGAACGCGCCGGCGTAATTAAAAATATTGACTCGCATTAACGAACGTTTTAAAAACAATCCTGGAATGGAACATTTTTAAAGTAATCACTTCTTATCCGCGAGAGTGATTTGTGCGTGTAAATTTGATTAAGAGCGTTTGAATTTTAAAACGAATTTGTTTATAAAACTTGTGTCTCTTTTCAGTGAACCTTAACTAATCATACGAACTACTTATTAATTTAGCATACATTAATTCTAACTAACATTCTAACTGTTAATTAACCCGTTAACTATGGAAGACGAGCTAAAAATTGCACATTGTTTAGAGTTGATTTATTCATTATTGGATCAAATATAAAGCACTCTTGTCATCCGAAATATGGTGACAAATTGAAAATTTCAGTCGAGAGAAAGAAAAGTTGGCATAGTTAACAGGTTGAAATTTGAATATATCGCAATTACCAAACCTATCTATCCTCCTACTAACACAATAACATTACTAACACCCTTTCTTTTCTCTTCTCTTTTCAGATTCAATGTAACTCACCTTCTAACGCCTACGCTTCGTGCACCAACGACTGCCTACTAACCGTCTTCGAAATGACTTAGATCTCCGTTGATCTAGCTCTCGAACGAAACGAAGAATAAGAGAAAAAGTGAGAACCCCCGTTACAACAACTCCCGCGCTAATCGTCGTTGATCGAGTAGCACGAGCGTTGTTCGTTCGTCGCTCAAGATCGATGATGCGAATTCCTGAAAATGCGCAGGACGAGCAGCAACGGTTTGAAGCTCGACCTAACGGAGAATACTCCAGGTAGCTCGTTGTCGAGGCTGCCTAATTTAGTCGAGCATGCGGAGACCTGTCAGGCGTTGTCTGCCGGAACCGGTGAGAATTTAAGCAGCAAACTGCCTAACGTGGTTGAGGGCTCGATGGACTATGGTAGCGAGCGTAGATCCTCGCGGTACCTCGAGTACCAAGACTCGAAGCCGTATCAGGATAGCCAGTCGGCTTCCGGGCTGCCTCCGTATGAACAGGGCTACCACGATCAGTCGAGGGGCTACAGAAGCTACGAGCGAAAGCCGTACGACAGGGAGGATATCGACCGATACGATAACAGAATTTATCCGGAGGATAACTTGAGGTACGATCGCCGAGGGGATCAGAGAACGTATCAGGAGTCAGACTTAGACGCGGCGTACGAAAGGAGTGATGCACAGAAGCTCAGCAGAACCTATCCTGCTGAGCTTCAAGAGACCGGTGGAGGTGGAAGGCGATACTCGAGAGATTTGACCGATTACGAGTACGCGTCCAGATACGCAGAGGAAACGCTCAAGCTCGAGCCGAAAAAGGATCATCACCATCAGCATCATTCCGGCAAAGTGTACGAGCCTGCACCGTCTAAAGGCTACGAGTCCGGTGTAAAGACGCATGATTCTGCCTACGAATTGTCCTGCGCCGCGCAACAGGACCTATCCGGCAGAAAGTACGAAAGCAAGTATCACTCTGTGAGTAAGATGTACGGAACCCTGCCGAGGTACGAGACCAGCAAGCCCTACGAGCCCAGATCGTACGAGTACGACGAGCAGCCTTACGAGACAAGCAGCAAGGTGTATGACTCGAAGTACGAGCTAACTAGTTCGAAAAGTTACGAGAGAGCCAAGTACGACGGCTCTTCGTCCTCGAGGTACCAAGACAAATCGTACGATCAGACGTTGAAGATCGGCGAGCTAGGATCGTCGTCGTCCGCTGCTTATACGAGAAAGACACAGGACCAGGAGGAGACTAACGCTGAGAAGATGAACGGATACAGGAAGAACAATTTCGAAGCGTACGGCGTTTATTCGGATCCCGAGGATGATCACGGGTTCCTGGCTGAGAAAAAGCCACCTCAGTACCCGTACAAGGGTGTGGTGGTGAATGTCAGCGGAGAGTCTAGCGTCATTGACCAGAAACAGGTCAAGGACAGCAGGCAAACGGAGGTCGTAGGGAACCCTTGGTGCAGGCCTACCATACTGTTGCTCCTGCTGGTCCTTCTTGTCGTTATCTTCGTGTTCGTCGCTGGAATTCTTCTGTACCTAAACTGTGAGTCTCCCTGCTTGCTTTTTCTCATCATTTTCAGCGATGGTACCCTTGAAAAATCGAAGGCATATTTACACTTTGAAAAAGTTACAGTTTAAATGCGTAATTATTAACGTAACGCTTCTGTCGTGCCGGCACATTTACCCAAAGAACCGACGATGATCCCGTTTAAAACGAATGTCCGTGGTTAACCAGGTAGCTTTGTTAAAAGAGGACACGAAATTGGCGAAGTTTTCGCAGCCAGGCTACAGAGACTTCTCTCGTTCTTTGAACGCGGCGTACTAATAGTACGCCCGCCTCTGCTCGATCCTAGTCTTTCTCCCTCGTTTCCCGTCATTTCACTCTTTCGTTTTGCGTCCAAGCGATTTCAGAGGGCCATTCGGTTAATGAGCATCCGATACCAATTATTTACGGTCGTTGATGTGACCGCCATAATAATGGTGGACGTCGACGGGTACGGTGGCGACGACCACGACGACGCCGACGTCGACGACACGTGCTGACGATACGTTAAGCCGGAACGGTTACTGTCTCCCAGGCAGTTTTATGTGTCGAATTTGACATGCCGGGCACGTACAGACTTGCCACTAGCGAAACTGTTCGGTCGGAATTACAATGTGACCGGTAAATGGAAGAAGAGGGTTTAAAGAATAGAAGTGGACGAGAGTGACGTACACCTTGGGAATCCATTTTGTTCTATGCTGAACATTTGCCCACGTCCTATATGGAAACGTTGGGTGAAACGTATTAAATTTTTATCCGGACGCGAGTCTCGGTTTTCTAAACGATTTTTGAGAGGGCTGTTGGATTCTTTGGAAAATTCTATCTTCTGCTGGGCACTTCAAGTTTGATGTTTGAAAGCAACGTTCGGTGTCTCGAGAAGAGGTCCGAAGAGTAATTCTGTTTAATCGTTGTACATTATGCGATAGAAATTTTATTTAAGAATTTGGGAAACTTTCTAGACGGTACTACAGGTCTTTCGTATTTATCGGTCCAGACAAATAAGGAAGGGAGTTTAATTGGTGTTTTAACGACAGTAGGCGTGAGAAGCAGATATTGGCTGCGATCGAAATTTATTTGACCGTAAGGCACGCAAGCAGACAGTATATAAGATGGAAAGAGGGAGAGGAAACAAGAGGGCAGACTTGCTTCCTCAGGAAATCATTGGAGATCTTTGCTTGGTTGTTTATGTGATAGCAACACGCTTAGGGGCAGCCATCACGCTCTGCTCTCTGGAGGAATCTAAACTGACTCGTTTTGAAACAGCCGTTTATGGATGACGTTTGCTCTATATTTTGATTCAGAATTCAATTACGATGATAGCAAGGTAAATGGAACGACGTTGCTAACACTGATAAACTCCAGTATGTCCAGTTATCTGTGTTTCTTTAAGCAGTCGATAATTATTAACTCCGTCAGTCAACTCTTGCAATTTTTTATCTATTAATTCATACAAGATCTTGTTCCAAAAAGTTCAAACAATCCCGCACAAATTGATCGGACATCGATTTCATTGTACTCTGAATTAAAAAATTCAAGCGCACCGCTACTTTCTCCAAAGCGAACCGCGCCAATCTATCACTCCAGCAGCACGAACAATCAATCACCCTCTATACAAGATCTTCCTCCACGAATCTAAACCACCGTGCGTAACGAACAAACGCAAACGCTCCTTCGAAAAGAGAAGAAAAGAAAGTAACAAAAGACATGCTACTAAAGACGAGAGATTGACGCTGGAACCGCAATCGTGCAAACTTCCGTACGCCGTCCATTTGTGACACGTCGCGTCACGTGTCACTCTTGGCGTGCGGCATTGGTGAGAAAAAAAAAAAATCTCTTCGCCGGTCCCGTCGCTGCTGCTGGCCCGTGGTTCGGCAAACGTCGATCGAAAACAAAGAAAGCGAGAGGAGAGCAAACGAAATGCCGTGAGTTGAAAAGAGTCGCGCAGCCAGTAGGGAGAGTTTTGCACGCAGTAGGGGCGGTAGGAGGCACATGGCACAGTTTTCCCCCCTGCAATTTCCACTACGGTCCGGTATATCGCGTCGGTACTTTCGTCGAACGTTCGCCGCACACTGAACAAGCAGAGGAGCCTCTCTCTGTCCCCTGATGGTCAGGAGGAGTAGAGTAGGAGGGGTGGAAAAATACCAAGGCAGAGAGGAGAGCAGGTCGGTAGCAGACCCTCCTGTACTCGACTATTCCGAGTGGCTGCATTTGGCAGCGGTCGACAGGGGCGTTTGAGCGATTCAGTTTATTTTCGGGTCAAGTTTTCGCCCGACCGCTTCGCAATCAGCCGTTGCATTGTCCCCGGGACAATACATTTACTGCGAGCAACGGCTCGTAGGAATTCGTCGAACGCCAACTCCCTGCCCCCTTCCTGCTCTTCGCGTTCGCTCCCTGGCCGCACCTCGTCGAACATCGTATTTTCGATCAGGATTTTCGGAAACTCGATTTAACCGGCGACGTCGTGGTGCGTTGCTTCGCGTCGTCGCCAACTATTCCGACGGCCAGTCGATTTTCATAGGATTCCGCGATAATTGGCGAGTCGACGTCCACGCACATACCTAGCCTGCCTTACTTCCCCTCACCTTGCCGGTTAGGCGTGTACGCCTAGAATTTCCGAATTACTTTCGTCGTTGCTAGAGATTATTGAATTTGTCGCGCGGGATGAAATTGGAACGGAATGTCGTAAAACGCGAACTGTTGCGGCGCGATTCTTAAGCTTTATTGCAGTTAGTGTATCGCGTCTCTCACACGCCAACTTAACTGTATGCGAGTCTAATTATTCGTTAAATACGAAGTGTAAATGTGAATTTGTAATACCGATCTTAGTGGACTTTTTTTGGGACATTTCAGGCGCGTTGGGCCTTTCTTGCAGTTGTGTGTTAAAGCAATATTGAACATAACAAAACAAAACGGTGGCCTATGAGGACAAATAGGGAGCTTTCCTCAGTCGAAGATCAGTCCAAACGGGACTGATCTGTGTGTGTATAGTGGCTTTACGATACGTGAATTGCTATTGAAGGAAATGTACGGGCACCAGGAAGGCGTATTCTGCGTCCATGAAACACTTTCTGGTCCTCGACATCGCTTCGAAGGGAAACGTAAGACACGAAAGAATCGAAATCAGAAGCCCTTAAA